ACATCCAAGATATCTCCGTCATTTTTTGAGCTAGAAATTTCGGATTGATTTCAAAAAATAGAGAAATCTCTTTTCTATGTCGCGATGTCGTTGAATTTTTCAATTTACGTTTAGTTTAGGAGAAATTTAAAACGTTGCATTTAAAAAAAGTAAATAAAATTTCTCGAACTTGTCGGAAATTTTTTAAACTTCTCCTAAACTAAAATAACTCTGGGAAAACAAGTGATAAGAGGCTGCAATTAGCAGAATGGCTAAGTGTTACCACAGGGTACACATTGTCTATTTCATTAAGGTTGAATGTTACTGGACCAAAATAGGTTTCTGAGTGGGAGAGGGGGCTTAACGTAGCTAGTTTCTTACTGATAGAAGAAGACTAGCATAAAAAACTCTTATCCATTTTAAACAGCCTGAACTTTCAGTAGAAGGATATGCAAGCCGGGAGGCGAGCGAGGGTTCTGGAGATGAGAACATATTTGTATTTCTTGTCTGGTCAAGCGAAGTGAAATTGTTAACCTCTGAAGAAGAATTCGAATCTACATTAATATTAATTTTCACTCTCAATATTAATTAAAACTAATTTGTATTATCAAAGTTATCACAAATCTATTACAAAAACATTTATTTAAATGAATTGGAGCAATCGAAGCTAGTTTTCGTCAATTTGAGAGGTTAAAATTATTTCGAGCTCGTTCAAAATAAATTAGTCTAAATGAATTTGAGAATAAAAATCAGTTTAAAGTAATTTAAAGTACGAAATTACTTCGAATGAGCTCGAAAGAAATTAATTCAAACCAGTTTAAAAATAATTTAAATTAATGTTTTTTCAAACTAATTGCAGCTAGTTTTAGCCTAGAAATTAATTCTAATTCATTTTAACTGCGAAACTGATATAAAGTAATTTACTACAAACGAATTTAAATTAATTTGGCCTCTTAAATTGATATGAAGTAATTTTTCAGGTTTTTTTGGGTCAGAAATTAGTGTGCATTAATTTAAAATTATTTAAAATTTCCAATGAGTTTAATGCTGAATCTCCGATCTGTGTCGTATTTTCTATGGCGCTTTCACACAACATCGTTGAAATTTGCCTAACATCTCATTTTATAGAGAATTGAAGGGACTATCGAATGATGTGGTTGAAAAGCTTCTGAAAGAAATTTCAATAGATTTTTTAGAAACCGGGTTTTTCAGAAATCTCTTTATCAAGGCGCCGAGGTCTAGCATAAGGTTTCTTCATCGAAATATGTAGAACTCGATGTCCTCTTCCATTTGATACCAACTTCAAGGTTCTACGTGTGGTCAGCAGGCGTTTTACAAGTTAGGCCAAATCAGCATTTTTCCGCTGCGAGGGTAAAATAGCTATAACTTTTTTTCTAACGAGGTTACGGACTTGCGCTTTTCACCGTTCAGATCAGCCTGCTGAGCTCTATCATATGATGCAGGTCCTGTCATTGACGTCAAAGATCGATGTAAATAGGGATAGGTTTTATATGGATCGAGCCTATCCGTCGATGCCGAAAACGTCACTCTGCAGTAGTAATATCTGAAAAAATGAGTGTTCACACTTTCAGCTAGAAATTAATTGACCAGCCATTTTGTAGAGTATTGAAAGAGCTTTCTTTTGATATATAACACAGACCGCAATCTAGGTTCTCTCATGGTGAAAGAATAGAAATACTATCGTGCACTATGCTGAAAAGGTCATTTTTAACAGTAATATTGCATTTCGGTGATGTTTGAGATATATAATCTCAACTGTGTTGAGAGAAAAGTTACAGCAAGGCACTGCGCGCGTGGTAAGGGCCAGTTCAACTTTCGAAAGCTTGAGCTTTTCATAACGAAAACGTGGTTGTAAAACAAAATTTATTTATATTAATAACAAGCAATGCATTCGCAAGTGTTTTATCAGTTTTTGACGCCAATATAATCACACTGCTCCGTAATTTTACCGCTCATTTTTGATACTTCTATTTTATGAAAAGATACATAAAGTGATATTTATTTTCACGTTGAAAAAACTGTATTATTTTACACAATCTTAAAATTAAAAATGAGTGAATTAAGAAGGAAAAACAAATTTACTCATGTTCTTCTGTATTCTAAGATCTATCAATATCAAGAGTCGACTAAGTTTCTTTCTTTAGATCGAATTTAATCGGGAAAATCTAGTCTTTAATCTCAAATGTACACTTCACATGTTATGAATAAAATGTATGAAGTCCCTAATGGACTGTGTTATTAATTTTATTCACCAATTCTTCCCCAAAGTTTTTGATAATTAAGATATGCTTATTTGAAAAATTAATCAATAACAAATTAAAGAAAGATCTCTGGTTTGAAGCAATTCAACGTTTTAGTAATTCCCGGATAACTCTCCACTGACACATCTTGCAATAAAACACTTAATAGAGTTTTTGTTTGTTTCTCCTCACATGTTCTCGCATACTGGCTGAGTCTTCTAAACAAAGAAAAAAAATTTTGAGCCTTGCCTAGATCGATAAAGAAATGTGTGTAGAATTTTTCCGGAGTATGGAATTCTGAAGACGACATTTCCTGTATCCACTGTGGGGATATTCCGCTGTGGATTAATATATCGATATAGTTTCTCACTAATAATTTTCTAAACCAAACTGCTGGGACAGCCCTTCGTTCTCTCTAGCTCTCTAATTATCTTAAACTCTCTATCTAACAATTGGTATGTTGAACATATACGAATTGCTCTATAAACCATCGTACTTACAGCATTCCGTTTGTAGGACGTCGGTACGTAAGAATCCCAACGCGAAGTCCAGTAAAAGTGCGCGAAGTCCAGTGAGAAGTCCAGTAAAAGTTAGCTTTCTTTCCACAGTTGTAATTAACCTTGATTTCAAGCGAGTTACTCTTACATCCAGAAACGGTAATTCAAAAGTAAAGGTCATCGAAGCACGAAAAATCGATAAAAAGCCCACTATGGTCGTTGAGTGAACGTTATTGTTGCCCTTTAATAGTAACAATGTAAGAATGCTATAAAAAGTTACTTATGCATGATTGAACAATCGCTCATCTGTCGATGCTTAAGGGTGAGGATGACGCGCGCGCAGTTCTAGCTACAGTCCTCAACTCGGTTCGTTCGTCTCGAACCTACCGCTCTGCATTCATCCGCTAACACACGTCTTTGCATGTCGTTTTTACACTCAAAAACGATAACAACAAAAACATACTATTAATCATAAACTTTAGCACTCGATCCATTAGAAGCACCTGTTACAAGCACTTTTCCACATGACAATAAAGTTGCAGTATGCCCATAACGGGCTGATGACATGTTAGCGGCGGTACTCCACCTATTCGATGTTGGATCGTAGAGTTCACAACTAGACAATCTCTGAGCCCGCTCATCAAAACCACCCGTTACAAGTACTTTTCCAGACGATAATAAAGTTGCGGTATGCCCATAACGGGCTGATGACATGTGAGTGGCTGTACTCCACCTATTTGATGCTGGATCGTACAGTTCGCAACTAGACAACTTTTGAGACCCGTCGATACCACCTATTACTAGTACTTTTCCACATGACAATAAAGTTGCAGTATGCACATGACGCGCTGATGACATGTTAGTGGCTGTACTCCACCTATTCGATATTGGATCATACAGTTCGCAACTAGACAAGCTCTTAGCCCGTTCAGTGCCACCTGTTACAAGTACTTTTCCACATGATAATAAAGTTGCGGTATGCACATGACGTGCCGATAACACGTTAGCGGCTGTACTCCACCTATTCGATGTTGGATCATATAGTTCGCAACTAGATAAGGTTTGAGATCCACCATAGCCAGCTGTTACAAGCACTTTTCCACATGATAATAAAGTTGCAGTATGCCCATAACGGGCTGATGACATTTTAGCGGCTGTGTTCCACCTAGTCAATATTGGATCGTATAGCTCACAACTAGACAATCTCTTGGCCCGTTCATCGAAACCACCCGTTACAAGTACTTTTCCACATGATAATAAAGTTGCAGTAAGCCGATAACGAGCTGATGACATGTTAGCGGCTGTACTCCACCCATTCGATGCTGGATCGTACAGTTCGCAACTAGAGAACTTTGGAGGCCCATCATCACCACCTATTACTAGTACTTTTTCACATGATAATAAAGTTGCGGTATGCACATCACGGGTTGATACATGTTAGTGGCTGTACTCCAACTATTCGATGATATATGTTGTACGGTTTTGCCTAGAAAGAAAGAAAACTGTTGGTGAACCGAAGAATGCCTCTCGTTGATCACAAGCCTGATAGAAGTCAGGTCAAGCTTTTGGTCTATTTATTATACATATCCTCTTTATGCATTTTACTTCGCGTCAGGGTAAATGATGAGGATCATACCAACCTGTCTGGTCCGAAACTAGATTCCATCCGAAAAAGTGTTTTAAAACGAGTGTAGAGTTGTACTCAGATTGACGGTCTTAAAGCCACATCTCAGTTGGATACTTCGTATCCGAACATTTATTCTCGTCGAATAATGCTTTTCCTGCTACCAAGACCTTTCTCGCCGCTTAAAACGGACGATTCGTTTTTATTGGGAAGAGACGATCAAACGTTAGTATCCACAAGAATGCTAAGAAATAGCAGGCACTTTACATAGTTAAAGATATCAGTTTTTACAGCAGACTACGAAACATTCGTCACTCTCAGCCTCACCCTTAACTCGCCCCCTATCGATTGTTATGGGAGAATTTGTTATTGGATGTGAGTCTAACCTTTATTCAATTACATTCAGGAGTACACATTCAACGGAATTAACAAGTGGGAACCAATTGATACAGTAAAAGAAACAAGTAACGCTCATCTTCGATTCACTAACCCTTGACTGAAAGATTCTGGTGCTAACGAACCCGACATGTACGGTGCACGAAATTCGCATCTTACAGAAAATGAATTTTGTTGTCTTCGGTATGG